GACCCACGTGTGTCCCCGCGGTCTCCAGGGGGTTCAGCGTGACGTCGGGGGGACAGACCCGCATCTTCAAGCCCATCTCGGTGCAGACCATGTGGTGAGCGAGGCCCGGGCATGACCGAGGGCATGGGGGGCATGGGCACCACCTTGGATGTGGGGGACATGGGCATTGCCATGGGCATGGTGTGTGTGAGGGGTGTGGGCACTGCCCTGGACATGGGGGAGGGGGATAACACAATGGGCATGAGGGATGTGGGCATTGCTGTGGGCACAGGGAATGTGTCACCATCCCGGGCAAGGGGGATGTGGGCACCACTGTGGGCAAGGGGGATGCAGGTAACAGGATGGGCACAAGGGATGTGGGCACCACTATGGGCACAACCATGGGCACAGGGAATGTGTCACCATCCAAGAGAAGGTGGATGTGGGCACCACCTGAGACACAGAGGATGTGGGCACCACCCTGGACATGGGCAAAGGGGTTGTGGGCACCACCATGGCATGGGGGATCTGAGCGCCGCAACAGACATGGGGGATGCGGGCACTGCCAAGGGCACAGGGGATAGGGGCATCACCATGGACACAGGATATGGGAACTGCTGGAGGCGTGGGGGATATGGGCACTGCTTGGGCACAGGGAACGTGGGTGTTAGCATAGGCAGAGGGGATGTGGGCACCACTCTGGGCACAGCCAGGACATGGACCTACAGGCACCACCATGGGCACCTGGGCACAGTCATGGGAACAGGGTTGGGAGAGGGTTTGAGCACGGCTGGGAGCGGGATAGTGGCACCCACATGCTGGGGATGGCCAGCACAGGGGACACAGGTGTTGGGGTGGTGGCAGACTGGTGTCAGGTGGTGTCGGGGTGGCGGTGGCAGAGCAGGGGTGGCAGGTGGTGTGCGGCAGGGCCATGCTGCAGGAGCTGCACCGCGCCTGCGAGGACGCTGCCCGTGGTGGGCACATCCCGGGGGGCCCCACACTGGCCTGGGCCCACGACTACGCGGCGGCACTGAGCTCAGAGCAGAGCTGCCTCAACGAGTGGCTGGCCATGGCTGACCTCGAGTCCGTGCGCCCTGCATCGCCCCCACCCCTGCGGTAAGAGCCACCCCTTGCC